CGCCGCGCTCAAGGCCAAGCCGCGCTTCGACTTCGCGCACCTGGCCGTGGCCGCCACGCAGGAGGAGCCGGGCAAGGCGGCGCGGGGCCCGGCGCTCGAGGCCGCCCGCCTCGCCCTGTCCCCGGAGAAGAAGCCGGCGCGGGGCCGCCTGCCCTCCAAGACCAAGAAGGAGTTCGTGTGCAAGTTCTGCGGGCGCCACTTCACCAAGTCCTACAACCTGCTCATCCACGAGCGCACGCACACGGACGAGCGGCCCTACACCTGCGACATCTGCCACAAGGCCTTCCGGAGGCAGGACCACCTCAGGGACCACAGGTCCGGGCGGCAGAGGGGGGCGGTCAGGACCAGGGGGCCGGGCACCAGGGAGCAGACGGGGGTCGTAGGGGGCACGGGCAGGACCAGGGCTCGGAGGACGGGCTGCCAGGGATGGCAGGGGAGACAGTCAGGGAGCACGGGAGAGGGGATCGGGGTCCAGCGGAAAGGGGGCTTGGGGGCTTGCTGCTGGTACTTTGTCCCGGCCCTGGCACTTGCATTTCCCGGGATACTTTCCCCGTCCACAAGTCTTCCCTGCCCGGTTGCTCGCAAGGACGCACCCCGGGGGCGATGGAGGAGCTTTGCACGGGCAGGATGAGTCCCAGAGCCTAGGTAGTTTCCCGCATGATATGCTGCCCCTGCCCCTCCTCTTGGTCCCTTGCCTGGGCCTCGGCAGGTTGCGCAGGGCGCTTCCCCATCTCCGTAAGTGGCTTTGACAGGCAGGTCACCTTGCTGCCTCCCGCCTGGTTTCCCCATCTCTCTCTCTCTCCCCAGATACATCCACTCCAAAGAAAAGCCCTTTAAGTGTCAAGAATGTGGGAAAGGATTTTGCCAATCCCGGACGCTAGCGGTCCACAAGACCCTGCACACGCAAGTAAAGGAACTGAAACCGTCCAAGCTGAAAGGCTGAGCGGGCTCCAACTCCCACGGACTCAGTCCCTCTCCAGGCGTCCTCCCCAATTCAGAACAGACACGACAGCCCCAGGATGGGAGCACACACACACACCCCTGCACACACACACACACACACACACACACACACACACACACACACACACACACACACACACACACACACACACACACACACACACTTCCTAAATCCTGGTTTGAAATTGAGTTTGGGGGCTGGAAAAGCAGCTGAACCGCGTGGGGCACAACCCAGCCGGCTGAGTCTTTGGTGGCTTTGAGAAACTTTATGCCAAAAGGTGGTGCTCACGTATCGGACAGGAATCTCTCTGTCTCTCTCTTCATTATTTTTAAAAAGAAAACAAACCCGTAGCTTCCAAAAGTATTCCTTTTTAAAATATATAGATATATATTTTATATTTCTTTTGACTGTATAAAGCTTATTACTTGTACACTTCAGAACAAAAAACCCGAATTCCGGAAGACGATTCAGGACTGAAACTTGTAGCTTCTCCTCGCAGCCAAACAGACTCTCGGGTCTTATCTCCCCCACTTGTTGCCTTAAAAGAAACTTTCCCAAAGAGACCTGAGTCTCCAGGGATCAGTCTTGCCACGCGGGATCGTGCCTTGGCCAGAACTCAACCCGACAGATCCCCTGGAGCTCCGGACAGATCCGCTCAGTGTTGGCACTGCCTGGAGCCCTGGTTTGCCTTGTGCGGGCTGGTGCCTTGGGGCGGCGGGTTGTCATTTGTGGACTTATTTAAAAATATATATAATTCTGGACTTATTTAAAAAAAAAAACCCACCCAAAGGAATGATCCACCCTGGCTGGGATGATCTAGCTGGGGCTGGTCCTGCTTTGAGCAGGGGGTTGGAGTAGATGATCCCTCCAGACCCCCACGGGCGATGATGCTATGCGAGGCCAGTGGCGACACGGGAGCGATGCCCGGCACGACGTGGTCTTGGTGGTACTTTAAAGCCTGCGCGTGTCCTGAGCAGAGAGGGGGTCGCGCTCGACCTGAGAGGTTTTCTTTTCTTTCCTTTTCTTTTTTTCTTGTCTTTTTTAAATTTGCGGCTGGCTTTTGTGAGCAGTGTATTCCACGGATGAAAACCAAAAGACATTCCAATAAGTTTTGCTTATTAAAAACCAAGAAAGAAAGAAACCCCCGTTGTATGGCTATGTGGCACTTTATGCTGAGTATTGGTATTGACATTTATCACTGGATTGTGTTTTTTTTTTTTTTTTTAAGTATTAAAATAAATGGTTATTTTACAGGCCATTTGGAGTGGGTGAACTGCCCCGCGTGTGCTCGGGAAACTTTGGGGTTTTTTTTTTAACCCTTTGCTTGCCCAGGCCAACACCCGCTCATTGCTGCTCCTCTTTCAGGGGGTCCAAAGAGATCCCCGGCTCCTGGGGGTGGGGGGCAGTCTCCTCTCCTCTTCGCCTGCCCGAGGAGAGGGAGACAGCGCTGCCAGGTCGGGGCGTTAGGAGATGAGATGAGGTGTCGGGGTGTTAAAAAACGAATCGGATGATTAATGGGCCCGTGGAAGGCCCCCGGGGCTCCCCTGCCAGGCAGCGCCCCGCATTTATCAGTGGCGCCTTGGGCGCGTTTGGTGCGGGCCGGGCGCAGGTCAGCGCTGCGTGCTCCTCCGCGGGAGCTCCGGGCGGTGCGTGTGTGCGTGTGCGTGTCGGGTCCTTCCCGGCGCGTGTGCCGCAGACAGCGCCCCGCTCCCTGCCCCGAGCAATCACCCCTGCAGCAGCCACAGCGCCAGCCTCCCCGCATGACTCGCCCCGCAGAGCGAGTTGAACAGAAACCGCTGCAAAAAAGGCACAGCTCTCATTCCCCGCATCCGCTAGAAACCGCCAACCTCATCCACTTTTTGGTCCCCTTCTTTTAGTTTCCCTTCTCCTGGACGCAGCGATTGCTTTCGGGGGGGGAAGAATTGCCCGAGGCATGGAGGGAGGCTATTGCCTTTGCTTCGGATTTAGGAAAGATAAAAATCTGCCCCTTCCCCCGACGCGCGCACACACACACACACACGCTCCTTTATTAGATGCAGACACAAGTGCATCACAACTAATTCGATACACTTGTTTGATCAATTACAGCTTCCACCTTCGTTTTTTGAAGCCCGCTGGGAAGTTTAGTGTATCCAGATCCGGACCGCTGGCTAAGAGCAGCTAGAAATACTGCACGGTGGAGACATTATGCAAACCATGCCCCCCCCCCCCAAGTTAAAAGTTGCATTTAAAAATGAATCGGAAAGTGTCTGTAGCGACGATGCACATATTTTGCTCTCGGTTTCGGCATGTCTAAGATGCTAGAGAGAGACGGGAATAAACGGGGTAGGACACAGGCTCTGCAGCCGCCTGCTCTGTGTTGGGAGGGATTTGCGGGCGAGAGGCGAGCATCGCAGCGCTCCCCTGCTTCATCACCCGTGCCTGTGTCTCTTTTCGTTGCTTCTGCAGGGGTCGGTTGCAAGAAAGTAGCTTTGCAGGTGGTTTCCAGGCAGGACCTCCACTGCACCGTGCCCACCTCCTTGTACGGTGGATTGATAGAGCTGGGGGCTCGAATGCAAGTCTCCAGGGTATCAGTCCAGCTTTCTTCCCACAGGGTTCACACACCAGTGGGTGGGACAAGCCTTCTCTCAGCAGTCACCAGTTGTGGAGCATCTATCCTTGCCGAGGCAAGGAGAACAGGGGCTTTGCCGAGCTGGTACCAGCAGATCTGTCTTGATCTGAAACAATTGATCCGGGACACAAACTTTTTCCAGCTCAGTGGCCTTAGGGGTTGGCAGATCTCAGGGGAGAGCCAGGGAGAGAGAGCAGGGATCACAGTTGCCTCTCTCTCCCGTGTGAGCTACTTGTATAATTCATTATAAGGAACAAATGAGCAGAAATGCTCCCTGGAGCCTATTCGTGGGGGGGCTGAGGTGAACGACAGTATCTTCTGCCACCCGTCATCTTTTATCTAGGTAATAAATAGAAGGGAGTTTTCTGATTCATTTCCAAGGGGCGATTACTCAGATGAAAGGTTCCCACGCTGGCTGAGCCATCCTTTCTTATCATCGCTGGTTGGGACCCCTGAAAAAAAAGGTGAGGTAAGAAATTTGATTTATTTTGTTTAGTAATCTTAAGTATTCTCATCACAGGATAGCACAGGGGGAGAGCGAAGAAGCTGTTCCTTTTCGGATCCAACTGGGCATGAGGAGCATTTCATGTATAAGGTTATGGGACTGTGAGTGGGTTTGCTGCCAAGAATTTCCCTGTACATGTATTTTTATGTGCAATAATAATAAAAAAATCCCTAGAATTGACATAATCAGAATTACAGATGTACTAAGAATTTATGCAGGGTAAATATTTTCTATAAACAGAACGCGGGATTAGTCATTGTAAAAACAAATTTTATCTTTCTGGTCTCATTCCTAGTTTTGCTGGGATGCAGTTGTTCAGTTTCCAGTGCCGCTTTCAAATCCTTATGGTGCACTGTAAATGCTGCGAGTCCAACCGTGTGCATGAAATCACAGAGATGAAATTATGCCATTCAGCAGGGATAAGCAGGACTAACGTCCAACAATGGGTAAAGAAAAATTAACTTGGGGACAAATATTTTTGCCTTATTACCATGCGTACTTTAAATGATGACTTACCTCTGTCTTTTTATTTTTACCCTTTCAAATCGAAGCTCAGTATCACATATTTTCACAGTTGCTTTAGTTTTCAGTTTGCACCAGAAATATATCCTTGAGTGGGAGTTTTGTCTGTGAGAGGACTACAGCATCTGGCTCCGGTTGTCTCCTGATATAAGATTTACAAGGGAAATGAAGTTTTACCATTTCCAGTTACAGACTGAAATGTAAAGATGTCTTGGCACACTTACTCTTTTGCATTCCATTAATTTTTTTCCTGCTCATAAAACATTGTTACACTGTTATTGGCCTGAGTGAGGGCTGCAGAATCATGCCTGAGTACTCTCCCATACACGAGGAAGGCCTGTGGGTTTATGCTCCTGCTTTCAAGTCAAGCAAAGAGGAAGTTTCCTTGAGAATCTTACATGGGTAATAGGTACTTGCTCGGCTATAGCGGGGTTAAGTTTGGCTCCACAGATAGTAGAAAAATGCCATGGCTGTGGACCAGGCTGGTGTGCGCAGTGTGGAAACAAGTATTTTATAGCTGTGCACGTTGAAGCAGCATGGTGTAAAGGCATTGATGTGTAGCAGTCTCCTCTGCCCTGCTGTGTGACATCAAGCGAACCACTTGCCTTACTAGCCTCGGTTTCCTCTGTAAAACAGGGATAGTAATACTTACCTCCTTTCCAGGGATACTTTGAAACTTAAGTCATTTATGCATGTAACACGCTGTACATTATCAAAGCTGCATGCAATGAAGTGTTCTAGTGTTCTAGGGAAGTGGGAGGAGGGACTGCAAATTCTTACCTGCACAGCTGAGAGTAACATCTGGCTGGGTAGATGTAACCGAGTAGGGACGTTTATAGTCCTGTGTAATTTTTTTTTCAGCCTTGGCAGATTTGCTGAGAGACCGAGTTGTAATGCCCTGCATGCATTTCTGCGTGACATTCTTATCCAGTGACTAAACAGAATAAACAATGCGGGCCATGTTCATCCCTGGTGTAATTTCAGTTGCATCAGTCATCTTTATAAGGGTGTTTTTAAATTATGTTGATTTTTGGGTTATCTGAAGGCTGAATTTGGCCACTTATGTATTTGCAACATGTGCTTTTTCCTCCTGGTAAAACAGGGGTGGCTGTCCTTGCCCTTCATCTAACATACTTTTGAGGAGGGTTATAGAAGGATGAACCATTACTCTCTTTTCCATATTCAGGTCAACCTTCTTAACTTGCATAGCAGCTGGAGTGGGCTTGGTATTCTACTAAACTCAGACAATTCATTGAGTGACAATTTCAAAAGTTCTTACATCCTTTTGACTTTCACAGAGAGATGGGCTAAGTGACTTTAAGAAACGGCTAATAATTTTACCTACTGTCTTTGTTTAAAGGACTTACAGTCTAAGCTTAGACATAGCAGCGCAAATGACTGCAGGCAAAGAAAAGCTATAGGGGAGCAAGAAAAAGAACAGTAATTAAGGTAACAGTGTGATTGATCATATATAAAAAGCAAAAGGGACCTCTATAATCTATGTATCTAACCTGTCCTGACATCCTACATGACATAGGCAGCTACAGAATTTTATCCAGTACGGTGATTTGTGAGATGGAGGATGTACCCGACTAGGGAAGAGAACGCTATTGAACCATATAACTTGTGCTTGAACTAGAGCAAGCCTTTTGGAAAGATATTTATTTGTGATTGAAAGATCTAAGCGTCATTTCCTTGGCAAGTGTTCCAGTGATGAATTACCTTTGCTGATAAGATCCTGTGCCTGTTTCCAATTCGATTTTTTCTAACTTCAAAATCTAGCCATTCCTATGCATGGTTCTCTCTCTGACTATATAGCTTCTCAGTTACTTTTCTTTGCACCTTCTAAATGCTTGATTGTGTAGTGGTTTCAGAACCAAATTTAAACATGGAAGTAAACATGGGAAAGGTCATGAAAGAATAACCAAGAAGGCAAGCACATGGAAAAGATCTAAAATTTGAAGTTAAATTATATTCCTAACTCTGACTTGAAAAATACCATGTAATGATTTGGAAACAAAATGGTGTTTTTCATTTATTAATAATTTGAAGTATTGATAAAGATTAATGATGCATGTATTTTTAATGTTGCTCATTAAATCTGAAGTTTGAAAAAGTCTTTTATTATTTTGACTGCACCAGTTTGACTGGAGCACAGTGTTACGTCTGATTTGCAGCACGTTTAGTACTACTTTTATGGCTCCTGTTATGCCTCCCTGGTTCTTGCTTCTAAAACAAAGAAGAAAAACCCTGACATTTTCTCAGTCATACTGACCATCCAAAATAGCTTTTGTTACTACCAAAATCACACAAATGTTTGTTTCTATTCTGTATGCATTCATTTATTTATTTTTTTATAAATGAAAATGTCAAATTCATCAGTGGTATTCACAATAGCACGTAAACCTGAGTAACTGCAAACAGTGGCCTGGACATGCCATCAGTTAGTAATTAGACTTGTCATTCTAATTACTACCTTTCATGGGAAAGCTCATGTCCCTCCTTTTGGTTTTCAACTTGCTCATGTCACATCCCTCCTTTTGGATTTCAGCTTGTTCCATCCCATACCAGCTTTTGTCAGCCCATCTCTCACTTTAGATTTCTCATGTTTGTATGCT